TCTCTCTCTCTCTCTCTCTCTCTCTCTCTGTCTCACTCTCCCATAAATAAACCTAAAAGAAAATCATTCCTTTGGGGAAAAAAAAAGGATGTTTTGTTAAACTTTCTGGAATAGCAAAGAAATGTAACAAGCCTGCCCATGGGGACTAAATGGCATTTGTACACCTCCCCTTTTCCAAAGTGAAAACCAGAAATGCCCCTACTTTTCCAAAGTGAAACCCAGAAATGCTTTCAAATGATCCCAGGTAGGGTACCACCCTTAGTTGAGAACCACTTCTATATATTTGTAAGACCTTATCGCTTGGAACATTACCAGTTATACCTAAGCATTTTTCAGAATAGAATGAGCCATAACAAAATGTCACCTATTTCCTATACTTAGTCACTTGAACTTTTATCTAAAACTCAGTCTAAACATATTGCTAACTGTAGTTATACCTTTCTCTATTATTTTTTAGCTCAAGTTATTCTTTTCCAATCCCTCTGCATGTGTTTCTGCCTTAGCAGTTTTGCCTTGATATGTTAACAACTTTTGTTCTTTTCCTAACTTAATTAAGCCTTTGTTTTCTTCTTTCATGTCACTGAAAATGTGTGTATTTAAAATATTCAAGTATGAATATTTCTTGAAAATCAATTTTTAGAATATTTGGAGGATATGTTAACATTAAATGATGTAAAAACAAAATACCGTAACCCTCATGGTTGTGCCTTTTTTCTATTACATCACATTTGTTTATGTTTTAAAAGGTGAGTGGACTGTGTAGTACTATATATTCCAGAGAAATTATGAGTATTAATAAAGTATTTTCCTAGATTTTTAAAATGTTTATTTATTTTTGAGGGAGAGAGAGAGAGAGAGAGAAAGAGACATAGAGTATGCATGAGGGAGGGGCAGAGAGAGAGGGAGACACAGAATCCGAAACAGGCTTCAGGCTCTGAGCTGTCAGCACAGAGCCCAACGTGGGGCTTGAACCAGCGAACTGTGAGATCATGACCTGAGCGAAAGTCAGATGCTTAACCGACTGAGCCACCCAGGTGCACCCCTCCCCATTTTTTTAATGGAAGTTTATCAGCACAGGTTTTGATTATTTTATATTGTGTCTAGAAGATAAAGGATTACTTGATTTCTCTTTTAGGTGCTTAACAGAAAAAAAGGTTTGTGTAATTATGCTGCATATGTTATACAATGTATTCACAACACAGTGTCTTTTTTTTTTTTTTTTTTTTTTAAACAACCAAGAAAGTGCTTGAAATTCAAATACTTTTTGGAAATTCACCAGTGGATACTTAAATTAGTCTGGGGAAAAGGTGTGTGTGTGCACACAAGCATGTGCATGTGCATGTGTAAAATACATATTTGGAAGAAAAAGTTGGAGTTATCTAGGGAATTGATAATGGAAGTGGAAAAGATTCTTAAATCATCATCAGAAAGATTTTATCAACTGACCAAGTGTTTTTGATTCTGCAATAGGCATCTCCAAAGAAAATTTGTAAGGTATATTTTAGCTAATCCAAATGTCAAATATTGAAGTTCTTTCTAAAGATTTTGGAGAGAATGTCAATGGCAGCTGCCTATTTCCAGCTTCCAAGCTTTTAACAATATGACATTTACTGGTGTAATTTATGGAAAATAAGTGTGTAGAATTCTGAATTATTATCTCAGGTCATTATTTGCTTAGGATTTATAAGACATTTTATAATCTTTTTTTTTTTAGGTCCAAAAGGCAGATTCTTACACAGTTTAGACATACAAAATTATTATCTCCATTAAATTTTTTCACAGAAAAGGAAAAAAGGAACATGAGAAAATCTTAAAATTATAAGCTAAGATTTTGAATAGTTCAGTGCTAAGATCGTCATCTCTGGCTTGCCTTTTAGGTAGTATATATATTCTAAGATAGAAAAACAAACATGTTATTTTTGAAATTGTTTTTCAAACTGATTATGTTGATTATATGTTTTTTAGTATTTCAGAGGATTTCTGTTTGTTTGTTTTATAAAGCAATGGGAAATCCAGAAAACATAGAAGATGCATATGTTGCTGTTATTCGTCCAAAGAATACTGCCAGTCTCAATTCTCGGGAATACAGAGCTAAGTCCTATGAAGTGAGAACAATTTACTAACATTTGATTTGCTACTATTGAATGTCATTTTTGGTTATTTTCATTTACATATATAGTCTTCTCATATCCTGTGAATTTTGGTTGACAACCTAGATCTTGGAAAAGTAGAACTGATGTTTCTAAAATCTCTGCTCCTCACCGTCTGCTTATCTGTTGCATGCCTTGTGACCATTTTTTAATTGATAGGTGTAAATTATTAGATATTAAAGGCAGTCATTTGTGTTTTCTTTATAATGTATCAATATAATTTTTAAAAAGTACAATTTATGAAATGACTCTCAAAAATTAAACAAAACATTGCAAAAGTCAGCTTATTCCAAGTTCCAATGTAAATATTGTTCTTGGTTATTTCCCCAAAGAACTCTTTTTTAACAGTTCATTTTAAAATATCTTTTTAACTTTAGTTAAAGTTTTAGGCAATTAAGTTACTTCTCTGTAGTTCGGAATTGTATTACATATACTAATAAACGTGATTGAGGCCAAAAAAAACCCAACAACAACAAAACCTAAAACAGAATTATCTCTTCTATGCGACAGATTCTAGGCATCATAAAATACTTCTAACTCCAGCTAATTTCTCTAGCTTAAATTGCTTTCTTAAGGTTAGTTATCTGAAACCTATTAAAGGATATTGCAGAGGTTCTCAGGAGGTTGCTGCTTCAGTAATGCTCTGGCTTACCAGTTCTCAATCCTGAAAGTACTGTTGAATCACCTGGGGAACTTTAAAACTTTCACTACCAGGGCCCCACTCCCCACACATGCTGATTTAATAGGTCTGGGATGAAGCTAGGCATTGCTATTGTTTTAAAAGCTTCCCAGGATATTCTAATATGAAGCTAGGGTTAAGAAAGACTGCTGGCTTATTATAATCTAGGGCAAGTAAATTTTATTTTAAATTTTAATATTTTTCTCATCTAAGATTTTGTTGCATGAAGTTCCCATTGAAGGACAGAAAAAAAAGAGAAAGAAAGTTTTATTGGAAACTAAACTTCAAGGCAACAGTGAAGTAACACAAGGCATATTGGATTATGTAGTAGAAACTACCAAACCAATTTCTCCTGCAAACCAGGGTATCAGAGGTAGGAAACTTTTTCTTTTCTTTTTCTTTTTCTTTTTTTTTTTAATACAGTTTCCTTCAACTCATTGTGGAGAAAGATATTTTTAAAAATATATTAAGATCAATTTCTTTGGGTAGCCTGGATAGCTCAGTAATCTCAGGGTTGTAAGTTCGAGTCCCACATTGGGTTTAAATATTACTTAAAAATAAATTTTTTATTTTTTAAAAAAATGTTTATTATTTTTGAGAGACAGAGAGACAGGGTAGGAGTGGGGGAAGGGCAGAGAGAGAGGTAGACAACCGAATTTGAAGCAGGCTCCAGGCTATGAGCTGTCAGCACAGAGCCTGATGTGGGGCTTGAACCCATGAACTGTGAGATCATGACCTTAGCTGAAGTTGGACACTTAACTGACTGAGCTACCCAAGTGCCCAAAAATAAAATCTTTAAAAAGAAAAAAAAAAATCAATTTCTTTTTATGTTCCTTTCCGTTAAAAAAAAGAAAAAAGCTTGAAAAAGACTCAGAAAACTTTTTTTAAGGTGTAGTAAAGCCCTTCAAGAAATAACTTGACTGTAATGTTCTTTTAAGTTGAAAAATATTTAAATAAGTTGCAGTGTTAATGATTTGTTCAGTAGGGTAGGAAACCAAGGGGTGTCTTGAAAACTAAGAGAAAATTCAAATCACTTTTACGAGAAATATAGTTCTCAATTTAAGTGTCTTTGAACTACAATTTTTATTTATAAGGAAGCTGTTTAAAAATTAACCAATTGGGGTATCTGGGTGGCTCATTCGGTTAAGTGTCCAACTTCAGCACAGGTCATGATCTCGTGGTTAGTGAATTGGAACCCCGTGTTGGGCTCTGTGCTGACAGGTTAGAACCTGGAGCCTGCTTCAGATTCTGTGTGTGTGTCTCTCTCTGCCTCCCCTTCACTCACGCTCTGTTTGTCTGTCTGTCTCTCAAAAATGAATAAATGTTAAAAAAAAAAAAAGTTACAAAAATTATAAACTATGTCCAAGATTCAGGCATTATTATTAAGAAGCTAAAGCCAATTTCAGTCAAATAGCTGTTGAAAACAGTTGTTGATGAGGTAAGGCATACCTCTCTGTGCCTACTTTTTTTTTTTTAAAGCCTATGTGGTGTTTTTTTTTTTCTGTTACTCTGTCTAGAAATTGTTTAATTCATCTGTTTTCAGTAAAGAGACTTTATGTTGCAGAGATAGGGTTGAATCCTGTGGTTTCAGTTATTAGTTATTTTGGGTATTTGTTGTCTAGAGACAGTTGAACTGTAAGCCTCTGATTCATAATTTTTAGAGTATCATTCACCATATTTTACCTTTTTTTTAATGTTTATTTTTGAGAGACAGAGACAGAGCATAAGTGGGAGAGGTGCAGAGAGGGAGACACAGAATTTGAAACAAGCTCTAGGCTTTGAGCTGTCTCCACAGAGCCCGACAGAGGGCTTGAACTTGTGAACCATGAGATTGTGACCTGAGCCAAAGTTAGGCGCTCAACCAAATGAGCCACCCAGGTGCTCCCATATTTTTTTTTACCTTTCTAATAGGTAATCTCCCTAAGGGGGCCTGAAGGGTAGAGGCTCTAAGGCCTTACAACTCAGTTATAATAAGTTACTGCATAAATTTATAGATCTCTGATACATATTCTAAGTCCCTTAAAGAGATCTCCTTTCCCTAATCATCAGATTGATTTTTTAATAAAATGATCTAGAAATTGATCTTAGCTAAAAAGGGGACTATCCTTGTTGGTGATCAAGGCACATAAAAGGCTCTTTTTGGACGCCACAAATTTGTCAGTCTTTTCTACCTTAGTCTTGAACTTCTCTGATAAATTTTCATCTAGACTTGTTCTGTTGCCAAATTGTTGTAGTTATCAGGATTGATCCTGAGATCAAATTCCTGAGACATATATCCAGATCACATATTTGAGCTAAGACAGACGAGTCATAATTTGTTATGTGAATTAGCCATACTCTGTCACTCAGTCCATTCACCCAGAAGGGGGATGGAGTGGTGTCATTGTTAACAAAGATGTCCTCTGGCCCAGAGAAATGGGTAGTGCTTTTAGAAGATTTTCCAGGAGATGTAAAAAATTTTTTTAATGTTTATTTTTTGAGAGAGAGAGAAATGGAGAGAGAGAAACAGAGCATGAGCGGGGGAGGGGCAGAGAGAGAGGGAGACAGAATCCAAAGCAGATTCCAGGCTCTGAGCTGTCAGCACAGAGCCCGATGCGGGGTTTGAACCCACAAGCTGTGAAATCATTACCTGAGCTGAAGTTGGACGCTTAACCAACTGAACCACCCAGGCACCTCTAGGAGCTTTTAATAAGAGAAATTAAAATGGCGAACTTTAACCTAACTAGTTATGTTAGTTATAATAAGCCATACCACATCCTGACTATAATTTTTGTATTGAGTTTTCTAAATATATGAAATATTTTTGTAGAGTAAGAGGATTCCTTATACAAGCATCACATGTAAATCACAAAGACTTTATAATAGCAGTGGTTATACCTTAATTTTTTGTGCAGTGCTATATATTGTTTATAAAAACACTATCACACCTACTTATTAATGAAATTCTTAAAAAAATTTTTTTTTAATGTTTGTTTATTTTTGAGACAGAAAGAGACAGAGCATGAGCAAGGTCGGGGCAGAGACAGAGAGGGAGACACAGAATCTGAAACAGGCTCCAGGCTCTGAGCTATCAGCACAGAGCCCGATGCAGGGCTCAAATTCGGGAATGGAGAGATCATGACCTGAGCTGAAGCTGGGTGCCTAACTGACTGGGCCACCCAGGTGGCCTTTAATGAAATTCTTAAATTGGTCCTGTGAGTTGGTATATGGTCATCTTCACATCTGTAAAATGGAAATGCAGACATAGGATATTACTCGTTAAGGTCATACTGCCATTAGTGGAGGAGTTAGGACTAGAACCTTCATTTCCCAACTTGTAGTCAGTGCTTTTATTTTTTCCCCACAACAGATCTCATTACATCTGTCATTTGCAAAGTACGCAATTAAACAATGGATCAGAACTGGGTTTAGGGATGCAGCAAAACAGGAAAGATAAAGTGGGACAGGACCTCAAGCTAGACAAAAGAAATTGCCTCTGAAATTTATTAGATGTTATCCTCTATGTAACACTTATATTTTGTACACATGTCCAATTTGTAAAATAATTGGGGGCTATAATAATCACATATATTGACTCCAGTCTTTTGTGAATAAATGAAGCTGCTTGAACTCTTAGATTATCTACCTGTCCATAGAAGGTATCCAGTCAGTCTTTTTTTTTTTTTTTAATTTTTTTTTTTCAACGTTTATTTATTTTTGGGACAGAGAGAGCTAGAGCATGAACGGGGGAGGGGCAGAGAGAGAGGGAGACACAGAATCGGAAACAGGCTCTGAGCCATCAGCCCAGAGCCCGACGCGGGGCTCGAACTCACGGACCGCGAGATCGTGACCTGGCTGAAGTCGGACGCTTAACCGACTGCGCCACCCAGGCGCCCCTCCAGTCAGTCTTCCTACTTGGGTCAGGAACAAGTTTCTGTATCTTGGAGTGGGGAAACTGGAAGAGTTGACAAAAATCATGGCAAAGGTGTCCAGATGAGAGGTTTTAGAGGGAACGATTTGTAGGTTATTATTTATAGCCCCCTTGTGGCCAAATCTGGAAAAACACTAAGAATGGAGGTTACAATTCAGAATACAGTAGTAGTTTGTAGCCCAATCAGATTTTAATAAACACTGACATTGAGGGTGGAGGTTGAGTGTTAACTTTAAGACTTTGCAACTTACATATACCACCCTCCTTATCCACCTGAGATCATAGTAAAATTCTTCCCATCTGTATCTCAGCTGAATGAGGAAGTACTGTATATGGCTCTTGACTGCAGGGTGCCTTGCTATTCAGCTGCTCTGTCAGTCTTCAGCAGGACAGTTTTATTTGCTATACATAGGAAGCTTCTCTTTTAGTCAAGACCAGGACCATGAATCTACTGGTTGATTGTGCACAGAATAATTTGCATTATATCAGGATTAAGAGTTTTCATTAGGGCATATAATAAAATTGGCTGTTTTTATATTTTAACTCCTCTTAATGTTGCCTTTTAAAAAATTTTCTAGTTCTCAAAAAATAAAAAATGGGATAAACTAAAAAAAACAAATCTTAACATATAGAGAACAAATTAGTTGTTATCAGAGGGGAGGTAGCTAGGGGGTATGGGTGAAATAGGTGAAGGGGATTAAGAGCACTTATCCTGATGAGCATTAAGTAATATATGATATTGTTGAATTCCTATATTATATACCTGAAACTACTACAACACTAGATGTTAACTACATTGGAATTAAAGTATTTTTTTCTAATTCTCAAGGTAATTTATAAAATTTAAAAGACCTTTTTTTTTTTTTTTTTTAATCAAATGGTTAGGAAAACGAGTGGTCCTAATGAAGAAATTTCCTCTGGATGGAGAGAAGATTGGCAGAGAAGCGGCATTATTTATTGTTCCATCAGTTGTCAAAGGTAAAGTCTAAGATTTACCTTATGGATCTTTATATATTTTAGACACTAAGTTAAAATCTCCTGAGGAATTTAGGAATTTATATTCATAGTTACTATTCTAATATTGTTGTAAAATACATATTTTTAAATCAGTAGAAGGTGGGGAAATTTGTTACTTAAAAAAAGATATTTTGATTTCAACGTAATATTCAGCCTTCTGGACTAAACAGTAATGTTTTTGTTTCTAGTTTTAAAAATAGAATACAGAAGTGAGGAAGGAAGCCATAATTGAAATAAAAAGTTTTCAGGTTATAAGGGATTTTTCAAAGGATATGACTAGAAATAGATATTTCATTATTTTGGAAAATTAACAGACTATCATCAGGACCTATCTGGCATAAGAAGGTGTTAATAACAGTTCTAAAATACTCTGCCCAACAAACAGTATCGGTATTATTTAAAGACTTTAGATCAAATGTAAAAATTTGAGCCCTTGACATCCTGGAATAATTGAAAAATTACTAAATTTCAGTGCAGAACATGTAGCCTACTAATTTTGTGCTCCTGGGCAAATCACCTCTTTAAGCCTCAGCTCTGTTTGTAAGATGGGTATCTGCTCCTACCCAAGTTCATTGTGCTGGAAGAATTAATTAAGGTATTAGGTGTGAAGATCACTTTGGAAACTTTAGAGTACTACTCTCCTATAAGGCAGTAATAATACTGACGATAAATTAATGACCCAGTGGGGATATGCCATCAGCCTGCTGCTAACATAGTACTTACACATATTTTATTAGCCAGCTCTGGCATTCCAATTATATATATTTTTTCCCAGTCATACTTAGACTAAGAAGTGCAGTATTTTAAATGGTGTTGGAAATGTTATTAATCAGAGTTTTGCTACATTGTTAAGGAAGAAAACAAGGAAACAACTTCTGCAATCCTCTAAGAATATAGGTCTTCTAATTCCAAGTGGATAAGGTCACAGAACTGGTCATCAGTTTAATCAAGGTCGTCTAAATCCAAATCTAAAACAATTCATGTTACACTTAACTGTTTTTTTTAATGAAAAATATGTTATTGTAAACCTTATATGTGATGACATTATTCATTTTTCTTTTTCAGATAATACTAAATATACATATACTCCAGGATGCCCAATTTTTTACTGCTTACAAGATATTATGCGAGTCTGTAGTGAATCCAGCAGTCATTTTGCTACACTTACAGCAAGGATGTTAATAGCCTTGGATAAGTAAGAAATACCACTAAAAATATTTTTTAGTAAGCCAAATGCAGCTTCATAGTAGAAATTAGCTCTGTTAGAACAGAAGCAAATAATATGTATGTAACACAATGGTAAGTTTTTGAAGTAAAATATAAAAATGAAAAGCTCCAAAGACAGGATTTTCCTGGTTTGTTTACAATGGGCTAATTTTTTTTCAAAAATGACAAAGACTGCCCTGGATGAAGGATTAAGATTCCTTGATATAAAACTAGATTTGGGGGATTTTTTTGTTTGTTTTTTTGTTTTAATTTTCAAGTTGAGTTAACCACTGCCTTTGTTTTCCCTCCTACTTTTATACGAGGTCTCTTATTTCCATCTTTCCTCCACTGCAGTAGTTCAATAGAACTAATTATGTCTTTAAAAATAATTAGAAGTGCCTGGGTGGCTCAGTTGGTTAAGTATCTGACTTCAGCTCAAATCATAATTTCACAGTTCATGGGTTCGAGCCCTGTGTCAGGCTCTGTGCTGACAGCTGGGAACCTGGAGCCAGCTTTGGATTCCGTGTCTCCCTCTCTCTGTCTCTCCCTTGCTCGTGCTCTGTGTCTCTCTCAAAAATAAACATTAAAAAAAAGTTGTTTTTTTAAACAGTTAAATAAGCAATTGACTGAAGTTCTCTTTCTGTTTTCCCTAATGCTGGGCCAAATGGCTCCTCAAATTGTTCTGACAGATTTAGTATTGAGTTACTTTCAGTGAGAGTAGACAAGAGTAAGTTAGACAAGTTGTTTAAACCTATCATGCCTTTGTCTTTCTGTAACAACAGAGCAAATGTCACCTACATCTCAATGGTTCAGATCTTAAAAGTACTTCATGTTTTTTGAAAGGCGTTTTATTATAATGGTATATGCATTTTTTAAAATTTATTTTGAGAGAGACAGAGCACGAGTGGCGGAAGGGCAGAGAGAGAGGGAGAATCCCAAGTAGGCTCCATGCTATCAGCGCAGAGCCCCATGCGGGGACTGAACCTACGAACTGTGAGATCATGACCTGAACTGAAATCAAGAGTCAGATGCTCAACCAACTGAATCACCCAGGTACCCTGGTATAAACATCTTTAAAAATAGTTTGCTGTGTCTATTAACAAAAACTTTGATTAATACTAAATGAAGTATTTAACACTAGCTAAAAATATAAAAATCTGAATGTGATATTAGAATGTATCACACAATAGGGGGCACCTGGGTGGCTCAGCTAAGCATCTGAGTTCGACTCAGGCCACGATCTCACAGTTTGTGGTTTCAAGCCCCACATTGGGCTCTCTGCTGTCAGTGTGGAGCCCGTTTCAGATACTGTCTCCTCACTCTGCCCCTCCCTAACTTGTGCTTTCTCTCTGTCTCAAAAATAAATACAAAAAAAAATTTTTTTTAAAGGGGCACCTGGGTGGTTCAGTCAGTTACTGAACTTTGGCTCAGGTCATGATCTCACAGTTTGTGGGTTCAAGCCCCACTTTGGGCTCTGTGCTGACAGTTCAGAGCCTGGAGCCTGTTTCATACACTGTGTCTCTTTCTCTCTGTCCCTCCCCTGCTCATGCTCTGTTTTTATCTCTCAAAAATAAATAAATTAAAAAAAAAAAAAAGAATGTATCACACATCAAAGTTGGATGGGCTACTTTCTTCATCTTCACTTTTGAACAAATACTTCTACTACCGCTTCTTTTTTATTTTGCCAGGTGGTTAGATGAACGCCATGCACAATCTCACTTTATTCCAGCTTTATTCCGGCCTTCTCCTCTTGAGCGGATAAAAACTAATGTCATAAACCCTGCATATGCTACTGAATCAGGTCAAATGGAAAACTCATTACATATGGGCTACAGTGCGCTAGAAATAAAGAGTAAAATGTTAGCCCTAGAGAAAGCAGATACCTGTATTTACAACCCTTTGTTTGGATCAGATCTTCAATATACGAACCGGGTAAGAGTTGAATGAATTTTGGCTCTGATTTCAAAAGACATTTTATGTCAAATGTAATTTTTTCCTAAGGTAAATATACCTGTTACTAATTGTAACCATAAGATGACATATACAGTTACTTGTATATATGTCTATTAAAGCCAAGTATCTGAAGCTCTTAAGGGGTTTTTGTTTTTTCTATTTTCCCGTTTTAGGTAGATAAAGTGGTAATAAATCCATACTTTGGTCTAGGAGCTCCAGACTACTCAAAAATCCAAATTCCCAAACAAGAAAAATGGCAGAGAAGCATGAGCAGTGTCACAGAAGACAAGTACTATTTTGGTTTTACTCCACATTGCTTTTTTAAAACTTATATTCTAATGTTAAAATATTGTTTAAAATGATATATGCAATTAGTATGCAATGTAATCATTGCATAGATGATTTAGTTTGCAGCTGCTAAGTGACCAAAGCTTTCATATATATATCATGTTTGTTTTGAAACAGTTTGAATTTCAAAAGTGCTTTTTTAAAAAAAAAAATTATTTGTTTTTAATAATTAGGGAACGACAGTGGGTAGATGACTTTCCTCTCCATCGAAGTGCCTGCGAAGGAGATTCAGAATTACTAAACCGTCTTCTCAATGAAAGATTTTCAGTCAACCAATTAGATAGTGACCACTGGGCGCCCATTCATTATGCATGCTGGTAAATGGATTACTTTTTTTTTTCTTAGAAGGAATGAATCTTTAGTTATAAACGTTAGTGCTTCTTTTCAGAACTATTCTCATTCCGGCTCCTTTTTCTCACCACGTTTGCCTTATGAGCTTTCTATTTAGATATCTGATTACTATATATACATACCACTGTTCAGAATTACAAGGTCTGCCCCATGAGAAAAGTATCATTGGTGTTCTTATGCATTACCAGGTCATCCTGTGTAATAGCTAATCACTAGCAAGTGTCATTATATAGCAGTAGGTCCTTTATTCACCCTTGTAATTTCTATTGTTTTGTATTAGATAAATGTTTGTTTTACTCTTCTCTTGCTATAAAACTTACATGAGGTAACTACTTATGTTTTGATGTTGATCATATTAGATAAGTATCCATTTAGTACTTTGGAAAACTGTGGCATCAAGAAACTCCCAAAAGCCTTCATTGGAATCAAAGCCTTCCATTCTTTATTTTTTTTTAAGCGGAATTAACTCACAAGATTGGGGTTATTAACTCTTTCTACTCACTGTGAACTTGTGTTCATTACAGTATTTAAGTGTTAGCTATAGTTTATTCTCTAAAAAGGATGTAATGAAGTGATTTACCATTATTTCTTATGGGTAAGCTGCTTTTGAGTTACTGTTGAAAGTGAACTTCCTTGGCTAGTTTAAGAAGTGCCTACATTATTCACTGCCTGTTAAATGTCCACTTTTTCTTTTTGAAGGTTTATTTCTTTATTTTGAGAGGGGTAGAGGGAGAGAGAGAGAGAATCCCAAGTAGGCTCCGAGCCGTTGGTATAGAGCCCAATGTGGAGCTGGAACTCATGAACTGTGAGATCATGACCTGAGCCAAAATCAGGAGTCAGACACTTAACCAGCTGAACCACCCAGGCGCCCCAAATGTCCACTACGTCTTATCTGAGCCACATTTAACAAGATATTTCACCTCTCCGCATCTGTTTATTTATCTATATGTAAAGGCATTAATTCGATCATTGCTCAAATTTATTTTGATTTCACTGATTCCAAAATTTGTGATCCAGTAGCTAAATATAGTTGCTTTTAATATACATCTTTTCTCTCTTAAAAAATATGCTGTTTCCCTAAAACTATGCTAGTTTATTCAAGAAATATGCTCTTAATTTTTTTTCTATTTCCTCAAAACTAGGCTTCTTTATTCTGTGTGTTCTTAATTGTTTTCCCATTACAGGGAATTTTCTATTCATATTTGGAGTTACCTTAAATATATATATACACATGTACGTATATTTGTATACATATATACGTATATGTATATATATATATATACACACACACGTATATATTTTAATTTTTTTATTAGAGAGCTTGAGCTGGGGAGAGGGGCAAAGGGAGAGAGACAGAAAACCTTAAGCAGGTTCCACACTCAGCACAGAGCCCAAAGTAGGGCTCAATCCCAATACCCTAGGATCATGACCTGAGTAGAAATCAGAAGTCAGACGCTCAACCGACTGAGCCACCCAGGCATCCCTACCCTAAATATTTTTTAACTGAACTTCTGTTTGTTTCTTCAGATTATTAATAAATATTGGTAGCAGCAGCAGTACAAAAAGAAATCACGTGCCTTATATGGAACTAAACGAAAAGAGGTAGAGAATATACTTCAAATCACAAGAAAGTACACTGTGGAATTGGGAAGGATGGAGGCAGAGAATTTTAGTTGAGAAATCCCAAATTTATATTTGGTTAATATTGTCCTTTTTTGTGGCATGGGTTATTTTCTAATAAAAGAATGGTAACATTTTTAAGTATCTATTACATAAAAACAGAAGTATGGTATAGTATTTAATGTTCTTTGGAATGTACTTAGGTTTTAGTCGTAATAATTCTTATTTCCTAAAAGTATGACCTTTGGGAAGTTACTTAATGTCTCTAAGGACCTGTGTCTTTATCTACAAGATGAACTTAATATATTTCTTAAGATTAAAGGAGAAAATGCAAATAAATGCTTTGAGGGTACCTTGTACATAATAAGTATTCAATAGATGTTGGCTGTTATTAAAATATTGTAAAAATGTAAAGATTTTGATTTCTAAATCTGAAATTTATAAATCTGTAGTTTATTTATTTTGTTTATTTATTTTTTTTAGAGAGAGAGTGTGTGCGTGCCAGCTGGGGAAAGGGGCAGAGGTTGAGAGAGAGAGACAGGGAGGGAGGGAAGGAGGGAGGGAGGGAGGGAGGGAATCTCAAGTAGGCTCCATGCTCAGTGTGGAGCCTGACATGGGGCTCAATCCCATGACTCTGGGATCATGACCTGAGCCAAAATCAAGAGTCTTAACCAACTGAGCCAGTCAGGCGCCCCTAACCCATAGTATTTTTAATTGGAAAATCTTACTACTACAGTATACCAAGGAAAAGAGTTTTATCCTTAGATAACATTTTCTGTCAGTTAGAAATAATAACCATATTTAATATATCAGGAGTAGTATGGGCCACCTTGCAATACTTTCATCAGATGAATCATTTAATTAATGTGAATTTGAATGAAGGTAGATTTGACCATTTAGTAAGAACTTAAATTACTTTATCTTGGAAATGTACTTTTATTCCCTAATTAGTATAAGGATCGAGGAGGGGAATACTAGGTTATCTCATTAAAAGTTGGATTTGAGGCCTAACTTTATAAGCTTAGACAAGATGTTTTACCCCTCTTGGTCTGTTTTCTCATCTTAAAGTGAGGGTTTTTATTAGATTGATGGTTCTCAAACATTTTGGTGGCAGGACTCCCTTTTCACTCTCAGAAGTTACAGGATCCCGGGATGCCTGGCTGGCTCATTGGTTTTAGCTCAGGTCATGATCTCGTGGTTTGTGGGTTGGACCCCCACTTGGGCTCTGTGCTGGCAGTGCAGAGCCTGGTTGGGATTTTCTCTTCCTCTCTCTGCCCCTCCACACTTGCACTGTCTCTGTTTCAAGATAAATAAACAGAAACATTTTAAAAATTATTAAAAAAAAAAGTTACAGAATCCCAAAGAGCTTTTGTTTGTGTAAATTATATCTAGTGTTGTTTATCATATTAGAAGTTAAACCTGAAAAATATTTTAAGTATTTATTAATTCATTTAAAAATGTTTATGAAATATGCCATATTTTTCAAAATTAAAAAAAATTAATGAGAAGAGTAGAATTGTTCTACATTTGTTGCAGTATTATATGTCACATGGCTTCCTGAAAATCCCACTGTACACTTAAGAGAAAGTGAAAGTTTAAAGGATCAGTAGCATTTTAGTATTATTATTAACGTATGTTTGACCTAGAGGATACCTTGAAAAGATTTCAGGGATTCTCAGGGGTTCCCAGATCACTCTTTAAGGACCACCCCTAAGATTACTCCAAGCTTTTAAAATTCTCATATTGGTGACCATCTACCTGAAAACTATTCTGTACTATTTTCCAAAACTGTTTAAGTTGCCTTTCTTCCCATATGGGTAACTTATCAACCACTCAGTAAGTGTTTCACCGACATCACATAATCTATGACCTTTCTCAAATCAATGTCTTTTTTCTCTGATCCTATTTTTAGGTTTCATGTTATTGCTAGAGAGTATTTTTGAACTATGAGTATTTTATTCCCTTCAAATTACCCCATCTTCACAGTAGCTTAGCTGTCTATCCTTTTGGTCTCATTTATCCTGTCAGCCATTTAGTCCTCCCTTATGAGCTGTTCTAAACCTTTGTAGTCATAAGCACTTAAACTCCCACTACTTCCTTTCTCTCCTCTTATCAGGTAGTTTTACCCCCCTATTTTCAAAGAAAATTGAAGCTATCAGAAATGTCCTTCTGTATAGTTTTTGTTCTCATCTCTCTCCTGTGTCATGCAGTATGCAAGTAAAAGTCCTTGTTTGCCATTCAATTCACTCTCTCCTTTTCTGCATTTTCTTTTTTATTGCCTTCAAATATGTGTGGTCTCTCTCTCTTGAAAAGAACATTAATTTGGCCCTGCTGCCTTTTCTGGCCACTATCCCGTTTCTATCCTTCCTTTCACTGCTAGATCTCAAAGGTGAGTGAGTCACACTCACTGTTGTCTCTTTTTTTACTCTTCATGAACCTTCTTAAACTTTTCTGAGATTTTAATCTCTTTCCCTGCTCTCCAGCATTAAATACTGTTGACCACCCCTTCATTCTAAGAACAAATTGGAGTTGAAGGGGCATAATGGAGCTATAATGAAGGTCAATACAAATGCAAATTATTATTGTTACATTATTAGTATTCTTGAAATACTGGCTTCCATTCTGTGACCTAAGCGTGTGTTATCGTATGGAAACTGCTATACTAAGATTCAGAAAACTGGATTCTAACACTGGCTAGTAACCATGGGACCTTCAGAAAGCTACTTACCTGGTTCAAGTTTCATTTTTCTTAACTGAGCAATAAAAATACTTCTGCCTGCCTCATAAGTTGTTTTGAAGATTATATTAGGTAATTATATATGAAAGTACCTTGAAAACTTTAAAGCATCATACAGAATGTATGTTTATATTAATTATTTGTATTACTTCTTGAATTGCTGTCTTAGACGTGTCTTTTCCTGTCCTGAAAGATTGTTTTTCAAGATGCATTTCATTGGTCTAAGATAATTTTTCTCAATTCTCTCTCAGAAGGATTTCATCCATTCTCCCAGCCTTAATGGTAATTCTTTTCAGTTAGATGAATTTGCCTATTCTCAGATAGATATGCCAAGCCTTTGCCTTCCTCCTGAGTACTAAGCATGCATTTTCAAATGCCTACTGAACAGTTCACTCATTTTTTATTCGTAAGGCAGTTTATAGAATGCAGAGCCAGTGTACCTACCCTCCAGGAATTTCTAGGCTACCTCTTTGTGTGTTATATTGTATTTCCTCAAAAAATATATTTAAGAAGGAAAAAGGTTTTCTACCCATTGTTCCAGAATAATAAGGGGGAAAGTACATAAAATAAGTCCCACAAAAGAATGAAAAATGAAATGCTGCAGGTAGTGAGATTATAGAAGGGGAAGATTTTAAACTGTTTCTGAGAAATAACAGAATTTAACCTAAACAAAATGAGGAGGAGGGAAAGGACATCTCAAGAATAGCAAAGAACATAAGCAAAAAGTGAAATGAATAAAAAAGAGTAGCATACAAGTGGCAGGTTTAGGGTATAAGAAGGATATGTGAAAGGAGAAGAAAGGAAAGTGGACGGCAAATCAAAACACTTTTAAAGATGTGTAATTTTCCCTCAAATGTACCAAATTTCCTTTCCCTTTCCCCCTCCCACCCATTTATTTACAAACAATGAATATACTTTTCCAATATTGCTTCAGGTTGTAGCCTTATAGAAGTCTTTGGCTCTGACCAAATTGTGGACTCAACTGCGTCTGACACAAGCCTTTGTACTCTTTTGTTTTTGTTTTTGTTTTTAAAGTAGGCTTCACACCCAGTGCAGAGCCCATTGCAGGGCTTGAACTCACGGTCATGAGATCAAGACCTGAGCTGAGATCAATAGCTGGGTGCTTAACCAACTAAGCAACCCAGACACCCACCATGCTTTGTACTCCTCTGGGTCTTTGTTTACTTACTCTTTTTCCCCCTACCTAAAATATTTTTACCTCTCTTCAGCATCTCTTCAGTTCCTTCCTATTTAAAGTCCAGTTCTAATTCTTCTATCAAAACATTTCAGGAAGTCTTAGACTGAAGTCCTGCCTTTTCTGACATTTTTTTAAAGTGTTAGTTATATATCATTTTGACTTGAGAAATAAACAATGCTTATTTTGTTGTTATTCTAAGCTGTTTCTTAAGTTTTACAGCATAATGTAACTTATCCAATGTTTTTGTTTTACCTCTGTGATTACACTGTAAGCCTTTATCCAAGCAGAGACCATGTATCTTCTCCATCTTTATGTCTCCCACATTGCCTAATACAACAGCTACATATCAAATTATATCTTTGGGCTTATTTTACAAATCACAATCAGACCTAAGTGAAAAGCATTATGAAGTTTATTTATGAGTTACATTCTGATTCTGAACCTATTTTTGACTAAAAATTTTATTTCCTTAATTTATAATTTTTGTACCTTGCATGTGGTAGTTCTTTCTCATCTTGTATTTGAGGTTATAGTCCCTCCTAGTTGATCAGAAACAGAAACAGTTGAATTGAACTGCTTAGACACTGAAAAACATTTATGTCGGTATCTTACTAAAAAAAGATCTTAAATTTCTTTGAGATAGTGTCTGAGATTTAACTTTTTAAAACATCTTGGGGGCATCTGGATGGCTTAGTAGTTTAAGCATCCAACCCTTGTTTTCAGCTCTAGGTCATGATCTTGCAGTTGATCAGATCAAGCCCTGTGTTGAGCTCTGTGCTGACAGTGTGGAGCCTGCTTGGGATTCTCTCTCTCCTGTCTCTGCCCTTCTCCTGCTCACACGCACATTCTCTCTCTCTCTCAAAATAAATAAATAAATATTAAAGATAATAATTTTTTTAAATGTTTCAGATTATTTTGGGGGGTAAGTTTCATTTTTTTTTTTTTTTACAGGTATGGAAAAGTTGAGGCCACTCGCATATTGTTAGAGAAAGGAAAGTGCAATCCAAACCTTTTAAATGGACAGCTTAGTTCTCCTCTTCATTTTGCTGCTGGAGGAGGACATGCTGAAATAGTACAGATTCTCCTAAACCATCCAGAAATTGACAGAGTAAGTTATTTTCCAGGGTTTTTTTAAATGTCTAAGCAATGAATAACCAGTAATGACACTAAAATGTTCAATTGTATACTTGAGAAACCAACTGAAAAAAATAAATTTTACTTAGTATGTAGTATACATATCTATGTATAAGCTTTGATTTTATACATGTTTTTATTGTGATAAAATATGCCCCACATAAAATTTACCATTATAGCCATTTTTAGATGTATAGTTCAGTGGCATTAATTACATTCATTTTTTTTAAATTTATTTATTTTATTATTTTTTTCTTTTTTTCTTTTTTCAGTATATGAAGTTTATTGTCAAATTGGTTTCCATACAATACCCAGTGCTCATCCCAAAAGGTGCCCTTCTCAATACCCATCACCCACCCTCCCCTCCCTCCCACCCCCCATCAACCCTCAGTTTGTTCTCAGTTTTTAAGAGTCTCTTATGCTTTGGCTCTCTTCCACTCTAACCTCTTTTTTTTAATTACATTCATATTGTGGTGCAATCATCACCACCATCAATCTCCTGCATATACATAAAATTTAACCTCTTTTTGTGTTACGTAGTATTTCCTCAAAAAAATAAGAAAGAAAAAGAATTTCCACCCATTTTTCAGAATTTGTGTTAATAAGTATTTTAAAGGGGAAAATAATCGCTTTAAACAAAACCTTTGTTGGATCTTATAATCAGAACTTTAAAAAAAACAATAATCACATTGATTAGTGCTTTGAGTCATCTTTATCAATTCATGTTTATTTTAAGTATTGTATGTGCTAAGTGTGGTTAATATTTAATACTTGACAAAAGTCTGGTTTTTGTGAAACTGACATTTTCACTTACAATACCATTTATCTGTAATACTTTTTTCTTTATATTTTTATTTTTTCCAATGTTTCTAGCACATAACGGACCAACAAGGAAGATCCCCCTTAAATATTTGTGAAGAAAACAAACAAAATAACTGGGAAGAAGCTGCAAAACTGTTGAAGGAAGCCATTAACAAACCAGTAAGAATTACTTTCAGAAATAGAGCCACACCAACTGTTTAAATTAATAAGTAATTTGAGGATCTGTGGCAAGAGTGGAATGGATGGATGGTTTCTTTATTGCTTTTAGAAAACCTCATAGTTAGATCTCTTAAGTACTAAATTTGTTATCATCCCTAACATTAAGACATTTATTCTTGAATAACAAAATAAAATTGCATGATAAATCTTTCAAGCACTTAAAATTAACCTAATTTCCAGTATAATCTCAATACTTGATAATGTCTGAAATAATTAGCAATAACATTAAGATAGAGAAGAATTAAGAATTAGAAAAACTCAGTTTGCCTAATAGTTACAGTTATGATAAAATTATGATTAATTTAAAAACTGTGAAAACTTGCAAACCAGATAAAAGGATTTATATCAACAGATAAAGTGTAAAAGTTTGATCTCAACAAATATAATCTCTGAGCCTTTCCAGACCTTTCCATCAGTTAGGCAATAAGTATTTGTGGAGTATTTCTGTGAATTTAACACCTTAAAATGCTGAAAGGGACAAATGATAAAGAGTAAACATATGATCTCTGCCTTTAAGAATATAAACACACAAACTCACCACACAACAGATTTTGTCAAAATACTGTTCCATGAGCACAAGACAAAGTCAAGGAAGTAGGTAACAGTACAGGCACCCTTCTATTATACTTCATTACAATTTTTTTGAAAATTTTTTAATGTTTATATATTTTTGAGAGAGAGAGAGTGTGTGTGTGCAGGCGAGGGGTAGAGAGAGAGGCAGACACAGAATCTGAAGCAGGCTCCAGGCTCTGAGCTGTCAGCACAGAGCCTGATGTGGGGCTCGAACTCATGAACCACAAGATCATGACCTGAGCCGAAGTCAGACTCTTAACCGACTGAGCCACCCAGGTGCCCTCAATTTATTTTCTAATTATATAGAACACATTATTATTCCTGGCATAATTTTTATATTCTAAATGAACACGATAAGAGGAATTAGGTACTTTTATCTAAAATGAACTGGCCTGGAAGTTATTTGGGGGCTTCCAATATAGTAAAATGTGTTGAGAACATATTAAGTTACTTCCAGTGACAATAAAAATGTATTGAGGATATATTGAGAAACCACAATTAGCTATTACTTCACACCAATCAGAATGGCTAGTTTCAAAAAGATAAGAAATAAGAAGTGTTGGTGAGGATTTGGAGAAAATGGTGGAACCCTTGTGCAGTCTTAGAATGTAAATTGGTGCAGTCACTGTGGAAAACGGTATGGAGGTTCCTTAAGAAATTAAAATTAGAGATACCATATGATCTGGTAGTTCCACTACTGAGTATTTACACAAAGAAAATGAAAACACTAAATTAAAAAGATATATGAAATCGCTTCTCGACCTTTTGGCTAAAATCAAATATAAAAAGATACGGGTACTCCTATGTTTATCACAACATTATTTATAGTAGCCAAGATATGGAAGCAAACTAAGTGTACATCAATAGATGAATGGATAAACAAGATGTAGTACATATATACAATAGAATATTAACCATAAAAAAGAATGAAATCTCACCATTTGCACCAACATGGATGGACCTAGAGGGTATTACGCTAAGTGCAATAAGTCAGACAGAAAGACAAATGCTGTATGACTTCACATATATGTGGAATCAACAAAACAAAAACAAAAAAATAGACTCTTAAATATAGAGAACAGAGTGGTGGTTGCTAGAGGGGAGGTGGGTGAGAGAAGGGCAAAATAGGTGACAGGAATTTTTTTTTTTTTAATGTATTGAAAATATTATTACTTTCTGAGATTTTTCTGAAGAGGAGGAAAGAAAATGGCTCAAGGTCCGTTGTTCCATAACTTTCATGTGTACGGTCTTCCATCACAGATTCCTCTTAGGACAAATTACTGCTAGTACACATTTCTACCATATAATCTTTAGCCCACTAGACTCACAAGATAGTTGACTAACACCAGATTTAGTAACCAAGTCTGTATATCCCCCTTAGGATACCTACTTTGTACATGAAGAGCTTTAAAACATTTCCTAGAAGAATCCAAAGTTGAATATTTTTTAGGAATCATTCACCTTAGTCTCTCAAGCTTACGTGATCATGAATCATCCAGAGGAAAAAAAAATGGAAAATATACATAATGGAAATAAAACTTTTTTTTTTTTTCAACGTTTATTTATTTTTGGGACAGAGAGAGACAGAGCATGAACGGGGGAGGGGCAGAGAGAGAGGGAGACACAGAATCTGAAACAGGCTCCAGGCTCTGAGCCATCAGCCCAGAGCCTGACGCGGGGCTCGAACTCCCGGACCGCGAGATCGTGACCTGGCTGAAGTCGGACGCTTAACCGACTGCGCCACCCAGGCGCCCCAGAAATAAAACTTTTTTAAATAATGCCAACAGATACTCACTTGAAGTAGTTTCCTGTTATTTTCCATTTTAGAAATCTATAATAAAGCACATGAAGTTGAAACTGAAGCATTTTGTTAGGTTGGGATATATAATTTTTAACTAGATTGCATAATTTATTATTGTCTTTTGTCCTAGTATGAAAAAGTTCGGATATATAGAATGGATGGATCATACCGTTCTGTTGAACTGAAGCATGGAAATAATACCACAGTGCAGCAGATAATGGAAGGAATGCGTCTCTCTCAAGAAACACAGCAATATTTCACTATTTGGATCTGTTCAGAAAACCTCAGTAAGAAAGTTGTTATTCTGTTGTGTAAACCTCACTATTTTTGAGAGTAGGTTGGCAAACTTAAGTATAGCGTCAATTTTTTAATGACTTTCACATTTTCAAATGATACAGTGATCTTCTCTTTTATATAAATAACTAGCATTCCAACTGCTGAAATAGGTAAGCCTCTGGGCCCTGCATCCCTTGCTTCATTCAAAGCAATTTTTAATCATTTTAAAACTTCTTCTTTAACCATGGAATTTAACTTGAATGCCATTAAATGTATTGCTCATCCAACTTGCCTTTATTGTCAGTGCTCATTTCACCTGAAATAATGCAAATTTTTTTTGTATTAGTTTTCTATCAAATCTTTTTTTTTAATTTTTTTTTTAACATTTATTCATTTTTGAGACACAGGGAGAGACAGAGCATGAGTGGGAAAGGAGCAGAGAGAGAGGGAGATATAGAATCTGAAGCAGGCTCCAGGCTCTGAGCTATCATCCCAGTGCCCAACGTGGGACTCAAACTCACAGACCGTGAGATCATGACCTGAGCTGAAGTCAGATGCTTAACCACGACTGAGCCACCAGGCGCCCCTCTATCAAATATTTTCATTTAAAATTATCCTGATGTCACTATAGAATTGTCTTTCAAGCAAATATTGCAAATACATAAAGGAATTAATTGAGGTTATTATGATTGGTTATTTAATGATTTGTCTTTTTTTTTAACTCTAGATTCTACTGATTGTATCATAAATAGGCTATCATGGAATTAAAGATCTTATAACATTTGATACATTTTGTTTTAGGAATTATCATAATTCTTATATTCTTTAATTTTTTTACAGATTTTCTTTCTTTCTTTCTTTCCTTTCTTTCCTTTCTTTCCTTCCTTCCTTCCTTCCTTCCTTCCTTCCTTCCTTCCTTCCTTCCTTCCTTCCTTCTTTCGTAGGCTCCTTGCTCAGCACAGAGCCCAATGCCAGGCTTGAACTCATGACCCTGAGATCAAGACTTGAGCTGAAAGCAAGAGTTGGAGGCTTAACTGACTGAATTACTCAGGCACCCTTTTAAGATTTTATTTTTAAGGGGCACCTGGGTGGCTAAGTCGAATGGCCTGGGTGGCTATGTCAGTTTAGTGTCTGACTCTTGATGTCAGTTCATGTCATGATCCCAGGATTGTGGGATCAAGCCCCATGTTGGGCTCCATGCTGAGCATGGAGCCTGCTTAAAATTCTTCCTCTTCTCCCTCTGCCTCTCTCCCCTTTGCCCCACGCATGCTCTCTCTAATTAAAAAAGAAAAAAAATTTTATTTC